GGGGGTCGGTCTGGAGATCCCCCACGCCGGGCGTCTTTTCGACGATGTACGACACCGCGATCGCGGGAGGGGGGGCGCGCCGGGTGCCGGTAACGGGCTCATCGAGTGGCGCCGATTCGAGGAGCCGCTGCGAGAGCGCGGCCCCTGTTTCCCGGATCCGCAGCTGGCGTCGGGAGTAAACGAGCGGGCCGGCCATCCATGCACCCCGTTGGGGCGTGAGCCATCGCCCTTGACGGACGTCGCGAGCGGCGTCCCTCATGAAAAGCCTCCGCGGACTTGAGGGTGGAAAAAAGCGTTGCATCTGATTGCGGAATTATCGACCCAAGCCTAACCTGGAGCTCCGGAAAAAAAAGAAAGAAAGCAATAATAAGTATAAAAAGCGTCATGCGACGCAGCAACTACAAAAGGACCAGGTGGAGGACATGAAATCACGCGAATGTATTTACTTTAGTTTAGAATCGCTAGTCCTCGCGCCGAACGGCAAGCTGCGCGGGGTATGTCGATTGAAGTGATCCATAAAAATATCCAACAATTATCTAAGATTAAAGATATTCTTATGTCAAGGTGGATAGTAAATTCTTAATGATCTGTGCACCTCCCTTTATTATTAAGACCCTTACATGAAGTCATCCTCATCGGGAACCTCTCCACGATTCGTGCGCATCAGGCGCTCGTCCATGACAGTCGCGTAGGTGCGAAGCTCCTCCTGGCGTCGGTTTTCCTCTCTTTGCTGCTTGTCTTGCTCTCGCTTTGCCTGAGCTGCTGAGCGTTCCTCACGACGCTCTTCCGCATCTCTCTCTTCTCGCAGGGCCCTGAAATCAACCGATTCCTTTTCAACTTTTGTTTTTTCCAGCCTTTTTAAGGTTGCCGTGTCTTTCTTGGCGACGGTATGGTAGCGCCGCAGCTTTTCGTCGTGAAAACCTACCTGGCCTACCGCCATTGATCCGGTCTTCACGAGGTTGCTCCAAGGCGTGTAGACAATTCGGACGTTGTTCAGCTTGCAGCCCTCGATACTATTGGCCTTGGTTAACTGACAGCACTCCTCAATCATTTCAGGGGTGAGGTCGTCCATCGATTGACCCTTGGGCATGCGCACATAGACGTGGGCACTACTATGGTTGTCTACGTGGAACCATATGTCCTCCGGCCAGCCGTGGGCGATCAGCTCCTCATTTTCGTACTTGTCACGGCCCATGTAGCACAGCACGGAGGGGTTGGAAAAGAGCTTAAAGTAGAATACCATCTTTTGAAGCGCTAACAGCAACTACAGTAAGAAAAAAAGGTTGCAGAAAAGCAAAAAAATAAAAAAAATGCATACCATTTGCAGAAAACTGTCAGAGGGCTATGGTACACAGAGTTACCGAATGTGTAAAAACGAAGTAAGGAAAGATGACGGAACAGCAGGAAACGCTGCATATTAGAAATCTATATCTAACCGGTGCTCCCCCCCAGTTCCCCCCCACCCTCAAAATAGCAAGAAAGGGGGGTGAAGCATCCAAGTGGACCATAATCCGTTAATGAAAATAAACTTTCCAAAATAAATCAAAATTTTCCCTCAGTAATAATTTACCTAGCTGTGCTCCCATCGTGTACCTCCGTAACCCTTACAGATGTCTTACCCCGCAGCAAAATCATCAACTGCGATTCTCTTCCATGTACAGAGCTCTTGGTCAAGCCCACTACAACGCGGGCAATTTCTACTCAATTTAAAATATTCGCGAATCCCCACACATTCCTTACCCTTGGTATACATAATCCGGCAAAGAGGAAACCAACTTAACGCCCCTCTTCCCTCTTCCCTCTTCGCTACGCTCTTCTATTTTCCATGAACCAATAGGTCGCCCCGTGATAATGTCGTACGTGCGGCGACCCGGTGCGCACACCCCGCTGCGCGATCGCAAGCGGGGCGGGCTCCTCTCCGTTGGAATCCCCCCCCTCCCGCCTCCCTCGCCGTGAGGGGGTGGCCGCATCAGCGGCCCTCCGAGACAGACCCCCCCCCTGCGCTCCTCTCCGGGAAGAGTCGGAGGCCCTTCGTGCGGGGCTTCGTGAGCAGCGGCGGCGGCGGCGGCCGGACCACCACCGGCTCCTCCTGTGGGACGAGCGTCGTCAGCTCGAGGTGGCCGCGCCGCGCGGCGCTGTCACAGCGTGAGGACGGACGGCTGCCCGGCCTATCTGAGAGGGCCCTCCTCGCGGCCTCCCCTTCCCTCCCTTCCTCGTGGGGGGTCGTGTCCAAACAAGGGGGGTTGGGAGTGGGATTGGGGTTGGAGGTGAGGTTAGGGGGGTCCCCTGGGCTGCGGCCGGGCTCGCGGATGTAACGGCGGTGCCGCACCGGTGGGGGGGACTCCACCCGTGAGACGAGATCCACGCCGAGGTGGTCTCGCGCGGACATCGGTTGTCTCCGCTCCCGGCGGGGGCTGACCCCCGGCTCCGTGCCGTGGATGGAGAACTGATGGGCCGCCCTGGAGGCGAAGTGACGGCGACCCTTCAAGGGAGTGGTGCCCCCCGCCTGGTCGGAAGCGTAGATCGAGAGGAGGGTGTTGGGGAGGCTGTTGTCGTAGCGCTCGCGAGCTGACGCGCAGCGGTGGGCACGGGATGGCAGTGAATCGCGGTCTAAGGCCGACGTAATAAGCGATCCGACGGGTTTGCATTTATCTGCCTCTATATCCGCATGTGTGTATTTCATTTTTGGTTTTCTCTATTCTATTAATAACTCACTGTTTGGCCTGCCTGCAGTGTAAACCCTACCAAACGCGAGGAGGAGGGAGAGGTGTAACAATACGATTAGGTTTGTCTAGCTTTGTTTCATCATCACATCAAACTGATTTTTATTCTTAGTAGCATGTGGTGCGTTTGAGGAGGGTAATTTGATGATGATAATATTGGACGCCAACAGTAACAAGACAAAAGGAAAAAAATAACGATAAAACAGGTGGCGTATCTAATGACGATTTCTTAAGTCACTTTGTCACCGTATTGACGTCTATGCCTTTAAAAAAAAAGGGCACTCCGTAAAGACCTGAATTCCTGAGTGAAGCGGAGCACCTGAGGTGTCCCTGTGTAAAGGCTCCCCCCCTCCCCCTCATTTACTCATCCCTTCATTGGTATCACTGCCCCAACCTAATTAGCTCTTCTTAGAGCGCCTCCTTAAATCAACTCCACAATTCCGCTTAGATATATTTACGTTTAATAGGAAAGGGGTGATTTTGCTGAGAAAAGTAGGAGACCCGCCCCACCCAACCTCCGAGCAATGTCGTGGCGAGGAAAAACACGCCGGAGGCGAGCCACACGCGACCATAGTGGTTTTTACCTTGAAATTCTAGTGCGTACGCCGTGAAAACCCAGAGTGGGATGGTGCTACACCACAATGTCAGAGCAATGATAATGACTCTAAGCGACGGAACGGTGTAAACGTGGCCGGCCCCTGGTACCTTTGGACTCTTCTGCAATCCTTTGCGCGATGTCTTGCTCCTTTCCACGGATTCGGTTGGCGCGGATAAAAACGCAGACTGTTGGGTAAATACAAATGGAAGAAGCGGAATAAACCACACAAAATACTGAACCGTGCACACCTTATTGAAGGCGATAAATAAAATGGTCACTGTGCAGCACGCCTGCAGGATGTTCCGCCGCAGCCTCCAAGAGGTAAAAAGCAGAACCACGGCCTGTGGGATGAAGGCCCACAGCCCGGGCGCGAACTGCCGCTCGTAGTGCATGACGCGCGCAGCCAAATTCAGGTAGATGGTTAGCCAGTAAGGTGAGAAGTTATGCCGATGATCCTCACGGTGAAAGTGGTATAAAAAGGCCTCTTGTATGTAAACATCCCCACAAAAGAAGTAACTCACACCCGTCGGGATGGCAAAAGAAACGGAGAAAAAGATACCAGAGATCAGGGCTATCTTTGCTGTCTGCTGCAACCGTTGGGAAATGGGTGATGCGCTGGAGTCCACAAGCTCTCCCTCTTTGCCTACCCTAGTCCTCTCACCGAGTTGATGCCAGACCCCAAACACAAAGGACGGAACGTAAATAAGGGGAAAGATCTTAAAGTGTGCGCCAAACCCCAACATACCGGCAGCTGCGTAATAACGGCGACAATCGTATAAGGCCATCGCAATAAGGTTGATCAGCGTCATCAGCATATCGCTATTGCCACGTGTTGAGACGTTTAGAACGACAGGGTTGAAAGCGATGAAGACTTTCAGCATCTGGAGCTTGCTTTCCCGCACAGAATAACGATCGAGAAGACGCTCGCAGAGGTGCAGCACCCCTAGATCACATAGGGAGAACAACAGCTTGCCAAAAGCATCGAACCACACGACTGACGGCACCATGAGGAGCGCGAGCAACGGCGTGTAGCGATACGTGGTGCGCTCGAATGGGCACTTATGCGCGTCGACGATGGCGCGGGCCCCATCCGTTAAAATCATATAATCAATATCTGTGTATTTAACGCGAAAGTACTCATCGTGTATAGTTGAGTAAAGGATTAGGATAATTCGCACCACAAAAGATGTTAATAACAGATGTTTATCGATCCAATCACGCAACGCTTTGAATGCCATCGCTCTGAAGGCGAGGTGATTCTCCAAAAAAAAAAATGAGCCTAAGAAACCTCTATCTAATCGTTTGAAAAAGGGTAAACTAGAAAAATATATAGGCGTATGTTTTAGTGTTAAACCGCTTTATAGTAATGGCCATTAAACTGAGGGGGTTAACAATTGTCCGACCCTGGGAAAACTAAGGGGGTACACAATGAGGGATCGTACAAATTAGTCCTTGATGCAATCATACCTAATTTAAAAGCCGCAATGGGGCCGACGGAAATTAAAAAGTATTTGACATGTACTATAATCCTCCCCCCTCCCCCCAAAAAAAAACTTGAAAAGAAAAGGTATTGCAGGGGTCACACACAAACGGCGCCAAGACATGCTTCCGTATATTCTACATCACACTAACAATAATAATAAAAAGGAGCCAATATTCAAAGAAGAGTCAGTTTCATTTTCCATCTCCCTTACAGGTTCCCCTCTGGATTAATGCTGACAACACCAATCCTCCCTTTCCTTCTCTCTCACTGAGCGTATCAATCACAACTCTCACTCAAACGTTGAATGGTAAGCTGCTGCTCAGCCTCTACCTTTCGAAGCGATTCGTACTCCGCTACGTAGCGGTCGAGCTCCATTTGCTTCTCTAACAGTCGCTGCTCGGATTCCTGCACGGCTCGAAATCGCTCCTCCGCCTCGCTTTCTACGATATTGCGGTATCCAATCGCCTTGAGCTTTTCTGCCTGAATCGCATCCGCCAGTTTTTTGACAATTCCCATGGTTTGATTTACCATTTGACAGAAGGAGTCCATCTTTTCTACATATTGCTTCTCTGTTTCTATGGATTTAACCAATTCGTCAAATTTTTCGGGGTCGAACATGCGAATGGCACCCTTCTCATCGAACATAATCAGTTGATCGTCAGACATTGTTGGGCGCTTTACTTACGTTCTTTTGCTTCTCTACTCGTGAAAAGATATCTTTATCAAAGAAGTTAAAGTGCGGCTTAGAGCAACTTGTTTAGTTTTCCCACTCTGCAATTCCAAAAAAAAAGAGAAATTTTATCAAAGGTGTTGCTGGATTCATTTAAAACCAAAACAAGTAATGGCAAAAAGGAGTAAGACACATTTTTTCGAGGGATGCCTCGAGATCAACACTCAAACTTAGCATTGGGAAGACTCTTTCCCTTGTTTATCTACGTCTAGTTAAATATGCGTGATTGTGATTGATTGCACGTATTCATGCGATTAATTTAACTATATATATATATATTCTCCAAATCTCAACCCGATCCATTCCGAATAGCCTTGTCAAGAAACCTGGGCATAAAACCTTCCAGGCAATAGCCAAGCCTATCAAAAGCACATCGGGGCCGTCTCATTCATTGTTAGGCCTAATTTCTCTTCACTCTTCGGTCGCTGAGGATCTCACAAGCAGCACACCAGAAGCTTCTCCAGGGTGGCCATGGGGAGCATCAGCCGTTGTTTGAGTTGGAGAACCAAGTGCATCTTACCGAGCGGCGGATTTGCTAACGCCTTGTGGTCTGAGAAAACGGCGCGCAGCTCTTGAATGCCGTCTCCTACGTCCAGGTAGAAATGAAGCGCCTCCGCGATCCACCGCTTCACCTGCATCGCGTCCAGCGGGTTGAATCCCTCGGGGCGATCCGTTTGAGAGTCCGTTGGCTGCTCGGCGAACCCCCCCGCGACGTCGGAGAGGGCGGTGAAATCGCACGGGAAGGCGTGCGTGCCCGTGGGGTGGCATAGAATCGCCTGCACGACCTCCGCGAACGATTTTCGCTGCGTGAGGAGGAGGTGCAGCGGATGAGGGGGGCTGGGCGAACCCCCGTTGGGGTCCGTTTCAGCCGCCCTCCCCCTCGCCCGCGAGGCGTGGGAGAAGATGAACTGGTAGCGCCTTTGCATCGTCTGCTCCACCGCGCAGCCGAAGTCGCGGGAGATGAGCTCGTGGTAATCCTCCGGGAGGCTCACCGAGCGCAACAGCGTCTGCTGCGCCGTCAGAAGGAGTTTAATGCTGTCGATGGTGGAGAGCGTCGCCGACATGCTCGTGCGCTGCTCCTGGCAAAATAACCCCCGCACGGCGTCGAGCAGGCGACGTTCATTGACGTTTCCCGCATGTGCGATCGCGTGGCCGTGTGTGGAGGAGGAAAAAGAAACCCCCTCGGCCGACTCCGTTCGTTTTTCCAGAATTCGCACGCAAAGCCCGTACTCGGTGATGGCGTGGGTGTCGTGGGTGAGGACCTGCGGGTAGTGCTGCGTGCTTCGGATTTCAATCCGCTCGATCATCTCCGGCGGAGGATAAAGGCAAGGGGTCTGCAATCGGACCTCTTGCTTTTCTTGCCCGCAAGGGAGTGGTGTCCAGGAGATGTGCTTGGAGATCGCGTTCTTTGGATCCTGCCAGACGCGACCTTTCCGCAGGACGACGCGAATCGGCACTGAAACTGGCCGTCGACTCACCGCATCGACTGTCTGAACGACGCGGGGAACGACGGCGAGGCCGTAGAGGGCGCGGAGTGCGAGGAGGTGGTGCGTGTTATCCTCCGGATCGCGTGGCCAAACCGGGTAAAACGCGAGCACCAGCGCCGCAATTGAGGCGGTATCTGTCGCCAAAGTGAGATGCCCGCCGCCGAGGAAGAGGAGCCCGATGCTCATCGCGATCGCCATCCCCATCCCGTAGGAGTTCCGCGCGCGGCGTTGGAGTTGTTGAAGGATCGTAAACGTTCGGAGGTCGCCCGACCCCGACATCACGAGGCCGAGGGCGACGCAGCAGGCGGCGATGCAGGGCTCGTAGACGCCCGTGGAGCGCTGCAGGAGGGGGGCCGGGGTGCCCGTGGAGCCGATGTGGCCTTTCAGAAAGCCCTGCAGCTCGGCGAGGATGAGGGCGTGGGAGTCGGCGTCCATCGACCCCGCGTGGCGGAGGCCGAGCGCCAGGATCGCGCCGGCGACGCAGTAGCCGAGATTCGTCCGGAGGTAATTCACCTGCGGCGCGGCGAGGCCCTCCGCGGTGGAAAGCTCCAGCAAACAGCTCGGCACCGTCGCGTAAAGCGCCTCGCGGGAGGCGAAGAGGCTCGACCACAGGATTAAATTTCCCATCATCGTGCGCAGCATGCAGAGCAGCGGGGAGACGGCCTGCATCCCGGCGATTTGATTCGGCGGCCGCAGCTGATTCGCGACGGACTCGCGATCCGTTTTGAGATACAGAAGGCCGAGCGCCATCACCGCCGCGGGTGCGGAGACGGCGACGTTGTAGTAATTGCCTTCATAAACCCGCATGCAGGAGGAGCGGCAGGACTCCTTCACCGTCTGCGTGAGGAGCGCGCGGGTGAGAAAGTGGCTCGCGGCGTCGCGGTTGACTTCGTTGAAGCCGTAAAAGCCTTTTTGCGCGGACGTTGGCGGCTCCCGGCGGGCGCCGTTCATAAATTTAAACAGCCGATCCTCCACCCCAGGGACCCCACTGCGGCCGCCCATCCCGAGGAGCTGCAGGCCGAGCCCGAAACCCGCGGCCAGGGCGTACCCTTCACGATTCACGCAGTGCTCATCCGACGGCAACCTCGACATCTCGGTGAGAAACATCTCGATCAGGAAGGTGTTCGTCGGCATCTGCTGGCAGAGCAGCCCGATGGAGACGAGCGCGGAGGTCTGCACGTCTAGCGGCACCTCAATCTCCTCCACCCTCGGCGTGAGGGACTGGACGTGGATCAAAAGGCAGCCGAAGACGACGTCGTTGCCCGTACCACGGAAGCTGCAGCTGAGGCCGAGCATGACGGAAATCGTCATCGCCTCGGAGTGAACCTGGGGGAAGGTGAGGAGGGAGAAGATATCCGTTTTCTCCAGCACTGTCAGGTGGCCGAGGACCCCGGCCGCGAGGAGCAGCCCCGCACGCGAGCTCGGGCACGGCACGCTGCGCGTCTGATACACCACCCAATGCCGGGAGATAGGGGTTTGCGCCCCGCTAACGAACGCCCCGGGATCGGCCGCATCCGGTGTGGAAAGCGGGAGACATCCGCCCCCCCGCGTTGGCCCTCGCAAGGGTAAAAACCGAAACCCCGCCGCGCAGGCGTTAAAAAAGACCGGCCACACCAAACTCTCCGGTTGATACTCCGCGAGGGTGTTCGCGACGAGGATGCCGTCGCTGGTGCATCCCTGGAGGTTGAGCGGCGGGATTGGGATGCTATCGCGGACCTTAAAGTTCTGCGTACACATCGTGAGCATCCCGCGACCGACCGGAAGCGCACACGCGCGTTTGGCGAATCGCCCGAGCTCGTCGACGGTGTGCGCGCGCCCGCGCAGCGCGATCGGGGCGGCGGTGTTGAGCGCGGCGCTCGCGACGTCGAGCCGGGTATCCGGCCACATCCGGAAGAAATCCGTCCGCATCATCACCCCCTCATCCTCGATAAACGTCACCCGGCTTTGCATCCCCACCGCGCGCTCCTCCGCGAGCCGGACGACGTCGACGCCG